TCAAAACTGGATGCCAACTCTCGCTCGAGCAACCAACTCCTCGCTCGAGCGAAGAACCAAAAACCTGGACAGCAACACTAGGTTTCTAGACCCAACCAACCTGAAACAAACCTGCCCAACACACTATAACTCCAAATAAGAAAATAAGGGACAACAACAACAATTATACAATGACAGAATCTACGGAACCTAAGTCCGGATACAATAATTAAATGGGAAAAGACCGGGGTCGCTATAACCTTTCTCTTAAAGGCACTAGGGTGAAGATCTCAACGGATCTAGGTGAAATAGTAGAGAGAAGATGGGTTTTAGAGAGAGAAACTCAAGATCTAGGTTTTTAGAATGTTTTAGAGAGAGAGAGAGAGGAGTGAAAAAGTAATGAAAAAGGTCATCCTCGCGATCTGTTATACACGCAGTCCGCTTGAGCGTGAAAAGTGACAATTGAGTGTCAGACATAATGTTCCGCTCGAGCGTAAGAAGTGACGCTCGAGCGTCGAATACACTCTTCTAGCATTTGCAGGTCTGTAAAAAAATACTGAGAGTTTGCAAATCCTGCTCAAGCGTAAGAATGGCTGCTCGAGCGGAGAAGAAAAATTGTAAAGCTCGCTCGAGTGCAAGAATGGTCGGTCGAGCAGAGGAGTAAAAATTTGGGCAACATGGGTTTAGAAAACCAAGCAACCAACCTATTCCAAACACACAACTACAATCCAAATGACTAATCCAAGGAACAACAAGGGTAAAAAGAGATGTATAACAACATTGAACCATGAAACCCGAGTTCGGAACATAATAAAATGTCGAGTCAAAACCGGAGTCGCTATATCCGGGCCGGGAACAAATAGCTAGTCAATTCCATAAAGAAACCTCCAGTACTGGGAGCAGATAACATACTTGCCAGTTCCATGAAGGAACCTCCAATACTGGGAACTAGTAACATACTTGAGCCACAGAATTGTTGCCACAAATACTTGTCAAAAATTAGATGATCATTCATTGTATAGAACATAACTTTTTATAAAACAGATCTTATTCCATCACACAAAAAATATATAAAGTTGAACATAACTTTACGAAGTTATTACTCACAGTTGGCTCCAATAGCAGATTGATAGAATATATAACTGGATAGCCTATGGCACGCGATCTACACAATCACAGAATAGATGCACGTTGAAACACATTTTCAGTATTCATTTAATTCATTACATTTCGTTTGTAGTGTGTTTGTAGTCATTAATCTCCTTATTGTGTCTTAATTATGGCCTAGGAATGCCTAGGATGCAATAAGGATGCCAAAACATGTTGTTAACACTTAGTTAGTTATGCTGAAAACAGGGGTCTCGCTCGATCGCAATTTCCTTCGCTCGAGCGGATGTTCAAAAATGTGAGTGGCCGCTCGAGTGTAACTTCCTTTGCTCGAGCGGTCCATAAACTCTGCAAAAGTACTGGTTGTTTGATTTTCTCGCTCGACGCACGCTCGACGGTCACTCGAGCGTGAGACTGAGGTCCTCGCTCAAGCGGTCTGCAAAAATCGTAAACTTCTGGGAGCATGCATTTTACGCTCAAGCCAACTTTTGGTCATTCGAGCGGAAGTGCAAGATCATAGAGTAGTCACTCAAGTGCAGGTTCTGTTGCTCGAGCAGAGAGACAAAATCTGGAATTTCCAAATTGCTCTTCCAAGTTCAAAACTCAAATTTAAAGCTACAAACACATCTTTTTGGACCCAAAGTTAAAGGAAACATGTGTAAATTTGCAAAACATCAAGAATTAAAAACTCATTTCACAAATTCAAGGCCCCAAAGTAGGTGATTTAGCCAAAAACAACCTATATGTATATAAATATATATATATATATATAACCATGCATGAAGTGATATGCAATATTTTCTTTGAAAACATAGTCAATTGGGATGTTTGGCACTAAAACATGATGAATTTGTCGAACATAGCCAAAGTAAGAACTTGCATGTAAGAATTTCTTAGAAAACATGCTCAATATTCCATGAGATGCACATACATGCATGAATTGGTTCCCAATTCCATCATTTAAGCTCAATTCCACGTTAATTCACTCCTTTCACTTGACTACACATACTTAACACCTCAATTACATAACTAGAGAGTTGAGGTCTTACCTTGAAGTCTTAAATTGCAAGAATTCCTAATTGTTCCTCCCAAAATTCAAGTCCCTAGCTTAAGCTCAAGCCAATTCCTTGGTCTTCCTCTTATCTTTGGTCTCAAACACTAGCTCCCTCACTCTCTCGTTTTTTAGTTCAAGAATGAAATGAAGGTGTCGAAAAATGTATTCTAGAGCTCTCACATGCCTTATATAGGCTTGATTAGTGGTGATTAATTAAGGCCAATCAAATGAACATTAATTATTCTAATTTAATCATTCTGAATCGGATTTCAATTGAATCTACCATAATGTTCTAAAAATTCCAACTAACACAATATTCAAATCGATTTCGTGTTCGGATGCCAATAAGACCTTCAATTCACAGAACAAAACAGAAACATGAATAGATATTCCTATGATAGACAGATATAAACACAATTAATGCCATGCACATGTAAGTAACTTAGGATTTCATCTTAATTACTTATTGGACATATTTAATCATGGCTTAACAATTAATCATGGGTCTGGATTGTTACACCTATATTACACTCATCTAATCTCACACATACATTCCCATTTTTGACAAATTCTTTACCCATTTTATGGGTGAGTAGATTTATTGATTTTAGATTGACATTGAGTCTTTTTAAAGTGTCATTTACTTGTCAAAGCAAAAGCAGCACCATTATTGATGAAAGTAATTAGGCCCATTTCTGTGCAACCAGAAAAAAATATTAAGATTTTATATTATTAATTTAAATTTGGTGTGAATTTGAATCGCAGTCAAATTAAATTTTTGATATTTTTGTAGTTTATTTTTTTTAGGCAATTAGTTTGTGGATAAGGAATTATAGATGGTGAAGTCATTAGTAGCTTACTGACTAACAGATTTTTGGACATTAAAATAAGACTAGGACAGTTCTTGGATTAGGATTGGGTCCTTTTAAGGTTAATTGATTATTCCTAGTACAGTTAGAAGTAGCACCACTAGTCAATGATTTCTTAGTCAATGTTTAATAGTATTTTGGAAAAATTACTGTTCAGTGTATAAGAAGAAAAAAATTACAAAAATATAGTGGGTGTGACTCAAAAAACTCTAGGGTGCAACTCATAAATAACTGGGGTGCAAAGTGGCACCCCTCCCATGTTTTTGTAATTTTTTTTTCTTCTTATATACTGAATTGTAATTTTTTCTAAAACTTTTATGATGAAAAATGGTCAAATGAATAATGATATCCACTACCAAGCTAAAGAATAAAGTTTGTGTTCGAGGAGCGAATGCCTCGAAATTATTATTATTTATTTTTTTAAGGGTGGTTATGTGTAGGAGTGGGTTTAAGGTTTAGGGTTTACAGTTTTAGGATTTAACATTTAGGATTTAGGATTTGGGATTTAGGATTTAGGATTTAGGATTTAGAGTTTAGAATTTTATGATTTACCATTTAAGGTTTAGAATTTAAGATTTAGAGTTTAAGGCACACATAACCACCTTTCAAAAAAAAAAAAAAAAAAACATGATTTGAGGCATTTGAGCCTTGAATCCTCGAGGCCTCTAGCACGGTTGCAACCTAAATTATGGTGGAACATGACTGTCGTCAGTATCATTCTTTAATCAATCCACAAAGAAACAAAGAAAGAAAGCAAAATCTCTGCCATGAAGAAAAGGGCTTCAAATCCTCTATCCCACTAGCTTGTACCAATTTTCTGTCGCATTATTCTTGTGCCACCACATGTAAAAGATAAAACATTATCAAATTTACATTTCAAAAAAATATGGTATAATTATACCAAAATTGTTATTGAATTATAATTTATTAATTAGTCAGATTGGTATAATTTATCCTAAGACTATGTTTGGATAATAAAATTTGAGTAAGAATTTATGAAATGATTCTTTTGCACTTTCTCACCTCACATTACGCCTCAAATCCTTAATCTAAAGAGAATCGTGAAGTAAAGTAAAAGAAAAAGGAAAAGAGGAAGAAGTTGCTTCACCTCTAAGTTGTGTACCCTGTTTAGTTTTGAGTTTTTAAAAATTATTTTTGAGTTTTGAATTTGTATACGTTATGTTATGGTGGATTTTTTTCATATTTTAATTATTATTTTTGAGTTTTGAATTTGTATACGTTATGTTATGGTGGATTTTTTTCATATTTTAATTATTATTTTTGAGTTTTGAATTTGTATACGTTATGTTATGGTGGATTTTTTTCATATTTTAATTATTATTTTTGAGTTTTGAATTTGTATACGTTATGTTATGGTGGATTTTTTTCATATTTTAATTATTATTTTTAGATACGCATAATCTAAATGTACTTAAAAAATACAAAATTTGTGAAGAAATCTATAAAAAAAAAAAGAAAAAAAAAGAAGCAATAAATACAAGAGAAATACAAAAATATACTAAATTTTGGGTTTTTTTTTAAAGTAATAAGTTTTTCAAAGATTTTTTTTCGCAAATTTTGTACTTTTTAATTTTAACTAGATTAGATGTAACTAAAAAAAAAATTATTTAAAATATTAAAAAAATACAGTAAAAAAAAATACACAGAAAACAAAAAAACTAAAATTTCTGAAAATGGGCCATAATCAAACGAGAGAGAGAGAGAGAGAGAGAGAGAGAGAGCAGTGATTTCAGTGATGAACTATGTGAGGGTGATGCTGAGAGAAAACGAGAAAGAGATGGGAGTAGGGAGTCTGATGAACTATGCAGTAGAGAAGTCCAAGGAATTGTCGGCGGTGGTAGGGAAAATGGGTGGGAATTTGATGGGTACGACGGAGGAGAAGTGGAAGGAATTGGCGTAGGAGATAGGAAACATGGGTTACTTTTTTTTTTTTTTTTTTTTTTTTTTTAACATTGATTCAAAAATGAAAATTCATCCACATGAAAGATTTTCACATAATTTAGCTTAGGGATTGATTTTGCATTACAGCAGAAGAGAAGACACACAATTTAAAAACAAAAGATGCTTGGCCAAAATGCCAAAACCAAAACCATATATATACATATTCTTGTTATTAGACCAACAGGATTGAACCACAGCTTCAAAAAGAAGAGAACAACAAAAGAAACCCAATCCCTGTCGAAACCCATAAGACCAAGTTGTTCATCTTCCACCCTTAAGACGATGGTTGCGGAAATAACTAGCTGGGTCATTCTCAAAATCTGCCCTAGGGATGTGAGAGGCCCCTCCTGATCCTGGTGCTACCATTAGTTTATCGTTACCCTTTTGTTCTTCTGAGCCAGATGATGATGCTAGCATAGCTAGGCCCGACCCCACAAGAACCACCCCTGCAACAGCAGCAGCAGCAACAGAAGCCACTGTCTTCTTCGGAGTCCCACTTTCACCATTGGAGGAGCTTTGGGTGCTCTCACTACTGCCCATTATGCCCAATAGTAGTTGTTCACTCTGTTTCTGTCTTTCAATTGCTATGTTATTTGTGATGAATTGGGAGAATGTAGAGAGTGGTTGGTTTATAAAGAAAAATATTCAGAGGAAACAAAGAATCAACCATGTTGATTATTTATTTTTATTTTTTTTAAGTGAAAAAAATTGATGTGATATTTAATTTTTTAAGTTGATGATAAATAATCTTTTTGACTTTTATTTTTTTAAACTAAAAAATTAATTAAAAAAGTCAATCGTCAAACGACCGAGTTTTCAATAAATTTTTATTTTGAAAAATTAGAATTTAGTTTGACAAAAATCAATATCAATTTTTTTCAAAAATTATTTTTGATCCAAAAAAGATAAAGTCACATAAAATAGTGAATATTATTTTATTTTTTTACCGAACTATTTTATAAAAAATTTCATAAATAAATTTCGAAAATTCAACAAAATATTTTGAATTTATATGATTAAAAATTGTCAACAATAATAGTGATATCCACTACCAATCCCTTTTTCTTTTGCTTTTTTCTTAGGTAGTTGTCCACTACGAAACTGAATCATGGAGGAATGGTCTATCGTTAGTACCATTGTTTATGTATAAGTTTAAAGAAAAAAATATTTAGATTCATTGTAAACTTTTGAATAAAATTTTAAATAATTATAATATTAGTATGAGAAATTAAATGAAAAAAAAAAAAGGGGAATTGAGAGGATATATAGGAATTGTGGTATTGAAGGTATTAGGCATTTCTGGATTTTTTTTGCACTTTCAACTAACAGTTTAAAATAATTATATTTTTTTATCTTATTATAATGATAACATATACCACACTACCTCTATCAATTTCTTTATCCCATCTATTTATCTTATGGTATAAGTTATCCTGGATTAATTAACTTTCAATCCTCTACCTCTATCAACTTTCAAAAAACTTTCATTTTTAATTTATCCGGGAGAAGAGTTACCGTATAACTTATTTTTTATAATTCTCTATATATATATATATCTAATCCTTTATCTCATCTAATTTCATTTTATAACTTATCTCTCACAATCTTATCAATAATCTCATCCTAGTTAATACCATAAAAAATAATTCAACAGCCAAAGGTGACTTCCAAGTTCTTCGACTCTAAGCATAGGGAAAAGGAAGAAAAACAAGATAAGAGAAAAGTAAAAGATGAAAAAGTTGATTCACCTCTCCTTTACAAAGTGCAAAATAATCCGAGTTGTGCTGTGGTTGCTTCCTTCTTCATAGAGAGAGAACTTGATTACAGGTTACCCTTTTGTTCTTCTGAGCCAGATGATGATGCTAGCATAGCTAGGCCCGACCCCACAAGAACCACCCCTGCAACAGCAGCAGCAGCAACAGAAGCCACTGTCTTCTTCGGAGTCCCACTTTCACCATTGGAGGAGCTTTGGGTGCTCTCACTACTGCCCATTATGCCCAATAGTAGTTGTTCACTCTGTTTCTTTCTTTCAATTGCTCTGTTATTTGTGATGAATTGGGAGAATGTAGAGAGTGGTTGGTTTATAAAGAAAAATATTCAGAGGAAACAAAGAATCAACCAGCTGATTATTTATTTTTATTTTTTTTTAAGTGAAAAAAATTGATGTGACATTTAATTTTTTAAGTTGATGATAAATAATCTTTTTGACTTTTATTTTTTAAAACTAAAAATTAATTAAAAAAAGTCAATCGTCAAACGACCGAGTTTTCAATAAGTTTTTATTTTGAAAAATTAGAACTTAGTTTGATAAAAATCAATATCAATTTTTTTCAAAAATTATTTCTGATCCAAAAAAGATAAAGTCATATAAAATAGTGAATATTATTTTATTTTTTACCGAACTATTTTATAAAAAATTTCACAAATAAATTTCGAAAATTCAACAAAATATTTTGAATTTATATGATTAAAAATTATCAACAATAATAGTGATATCCACTACCAGTCCATTTTTCTTTTGCTTTTTTCTTAGGTAGTTGTCCACTACGAAACTGAATCATGGAGGAATGGTCTATCGTTAGTACCATTGTTTATGTATAAGTTTAAAGAAAAAAATATTTAGATTCATTGTAAACTTTTGAATAAAATTTTAAATAATTATAATATTAGTATGAGAAATTAAATGGAAAAAAAAAAAAAAAGGAAATTGAGAGGATATATAGGAATTGTGGTATTGAAGGTATTAGGCATTTCTGGATTTTTTTTGCACTTTCAACTAACAGTTTAAAATAATTATATTTTTTTATCTTATTATAATGATAACATATACCACACTACCTCTATCAATTTCTTTATCCCATCTATTTATCTTAGGGCATGTTTGATTGGGTGGATTAGAGCATAGGATTAGGATTATTAATCCGTGGGCCCAATTATCCTATGTTTGTTTTAATATTTTGATTTAGGATTATTAATCCAATGGATAATTAATCCAACAAATTTGTAGGATTATTAGTAATAGGGTAGGGGTGGGATTATTAATCCAATGGATATTAATCCAATTGGATAGTGAATACTACACTAATTTTATAGGATTATTAATACTTCACTATTAGTCTTGTGAATCAAACATGACCTTATGGTATAAGTTATCCTGGATTAATTAACTTTCAATCCTCTACCTCTATCAACTTTCAATCAACTTTCATTTTTAATTTATCCGGGAGAAGAGTTACCGTATAACTTATTTTTTATAATTCTCTATATATATATATATCTAATCCTTTATCTCATCTAATTTCATTTTATAACTTATCTCTCACAATCTTATCAATAATCTCATCCTAGTTAATACCATAAAAAATAATTCAACAGCCAAAGGTGACTTCCAAGTTCTTCGACTCTAAGCATAGGGAAAAGGAAGAAAAACAAGATAAGAGAAAAGTAAAAGATGGAAAAGTTGATTCACATCTCCTTTTATAAAGTGCAAAATAATCCGAGTTGTGCTGTGGTTGCTTTCCTATTCCTAGAGAGAGAACTTTTTTTTTTGATCAGCAAAGAAAATTTTATTGATAAAAGATAGAAAAAGAGGGACTTGACTGAATTGCATCATAGCTCAAAAATACATCCCAACTAGGTTGGCACCTATAATTGAGCCCAATCATATGCAAGCCAAGGCCGATACAAAGGTTGATGAGACCTCAACCAAAACTGGGAAAGAAAAAAAAAGGGAACAGAGGACTGTATCCTGTAGGGGACTACAATTTGTGGCCCTTCAATCCAGCCAAACAGTACATGAAATCATGGATTGTGTAATTAGGCAAATGACAAGAGAACTTCACCCAAGTGGCCACTTTGATCTTGATACTATCCACAATATTCCCCCAAACAGGAACTATAGAGTTGAAAACCATGTTGTTTCTTGCGATCCATAAACTCCAAACCACAGCCAATGGGATTACTTCCCAGATGAGCTTACCCAGGTTTTTGAATTTTTGACCATACCACCATAAAAGCAAATCTTGTAAGGAACTAGGGGAGACCCATTGGGAGCCCCACCAACAAATAATTTCAGCCCAGACCTTCCAAGCGAAATTACAATGCAGAAGCAGATGCATAGCAGATTCGTTATCAGTACCGCAGAATGCGCATTGATTGATAGCGGGGATAATGAGCCTGCGAGCAAGGAGATCCGAAGAGGCGATTCGATTCCACCAAACGAGCCAACCAAAAGCTTTAATTTTGGGAGGGGCTGCTGATTTCCACATCTTCATAATCGGGAAAGGGGTTAAACGAAGAGAATTTTCAAAAATTCCATAAAGAGATTTAACTGTAAAGGAGCCTGATGGGGAAGGAGTCCATAACAGATGGTCCACACAATTGTTAGTGATGCTGAGGGGTTGTGGCAATTTACTAATCAGCTCAAGATGCAACTCATCTTCCCAGGCTCTCAGGGTTCTCCTATAAGAGATATTCCAATGAGTTTGATTACCCGCAGCCTGGTACAAATACTGGTGGACGAAAGAGTCTTTGTTTGTAGCTAGAGAGAAAAGTCTAGGGTAAAGGTTGGACAAAGGAGTACACGAGACCCATGTATCCAACCAAAATTTAATTCTTTTACCATCCCCTAGCTTGAACTGAATATTTTCCAAAAATAATGCAATAGCTCTAGATCCATACCTTTCCAAAGATGAGATACTTTTCCACACTGCAGATGAAAGTCTGAAGCTTGAGCCATTTGGTAACCAACAATCTTCATTCACATTGTTTTTGGCACAGAGAACTTTCCTCCACAAGGAACTTTTTTCGGTGGCGAATCTCCACCACCATTTGCATAGGAGAGTATCATTGCCTTCCTTAGTCTTTCTGAAGCCCAAACCTCCAAAGTGTTTGCTAACAGAGCATGCCTCCCAGTTGAGAAGATGTAATTTCCTTTTGACATCACTATCCCCCCATAAAAAGGATCTTTGATATTTATCAATTAAGTTTGCCACTTGGGTAGGGATTTTGAAAAGGGACATATAATAGATTGGAAGTGAAGAAAGAACGGATTTAATCAAAGTGATTCGCCCTCCAAGAGAAAGATACCTCTTCTTCCATGAGGCTAGCCTTTTCTTCACTTTGTTTATGATAGGCTCCCAAGTAGACAGTCTTTTTGGGTTGGCCCCAAGAGGCATTCCAAGATAGTTGATTGGTAACGAGCTCACCCTGCAATTGAAAAATTCAGCTACTTGAGAGGTGAAGTCCCTGTTAACCCCAACTCCACATATTACAGACTTTTGGTAATTGATCTTTAGGCCGGAAATTAATTCGAACTACCAGTCCATTTTTCTTTTGCTTTTTTCTTAGGTAGTTGTCCACTACGAAACTGAATCATGGAGGAATGGTCTATCGTTAGTACCATTGTTTATGTATAAGTTTAAAGAAAAAAATATTTAGATTCATTGTAAACTTTTGAATAAAATTTTAAATAATTATAATATTAGTATGAGAAATTAAATGAAAAAAAAAAAAGGGGAATTGAGAGGATATATAGGAATTGTGGTATTGAAGGTATTAGGCATTTCTGGATTTTTTTTGCACTTTCAACTAACAGTTTAAAATAATTATATTTTTTTATCTTATTATAATGATAACATATACCACACTACCTCTATCAATTTCTTTATCCCATCTATTTATCTTATGGTATAAGTTATCCTGGATTAATTAACTTTCAATCCTCTACCTCTATCAACTTTCAAAAAACTTTCATTTTTAATTTATCCGGGAGAAGAGTTACCGTATAACTTATTTTTATAATTATATATATATATATATATATCTAATCCTTTATCTCATCTAATTTCATTTTATAACTTATCTCTCACAATCTTATCAATAATCTCATCCTAGTTAATACCATAAAAAATAATTCAACAGCCAAAGGTGACTTCCAAGTTCTTCGACTCTAAGCATAGGGAAAAGGAAGAAAAACAAGATAAGAGAAAAGTAAAAGATGAAAAAGTTGATTCTCCTCTCCTTTTATAAAGTGCAAAATAATCCGAGTTGTGTTGTGGTTGCTTTCCTATTCCTAGAGAGAGAGAACTTGATTACAGTAGCAGAGTTAGAAATTTAACATAGAGGGAGCATATATTAATTACAATTTTGAAATTTTTTTCTCATAATCAACAATAAGGAGATATTACAAAATTTAAACATTCATTAACAAAACTTACGGATCAACAATTCTACGAGTAGTAATATATTTTTTTCCAACCAACAATAAAAAAATCTCCAATTTGAGAATAATCATATAAAAACAGAAATTAATAATTCAAGAGGGAATGGCAAGTCGTCACTTGGGGGAAGATAAAGAAATAGCAATATAGATAGTTTCGTCAAATGATGGAGTTCATACATTTTCTTTTTTAAACATAAGAAAGTGGTACTTTTTAAAAATAAATAAAAAATTCAAGATAGTAAGTTATGGTTATTTTTTTGAAAATTTAAAAATGCTAGGGTAATTAAAAATTTAAGGGGGCACTAATATAATTTTATAGGGGTTAATGGGATATACTCTATACATATATGGGTACTATAATAATTATCAACAAATGAAGAGGGTCGTGTGCCCCTCCTAGGCCTTACTTCCCTCTGCCCCTGCCCTGGCTATTTACGATTTTGATGGGTTAGATGGTGGCATAGGGGAAGAATTCTTAGCTTGAGGAGCAATTTGATCATTTGATCCAAGTTAAACCTTATGCCATCCCCGCAGTGGCCCTTCTCATCCTCCTCTATTAGAGATATATACATTAGTAGTAAGATCCATTGTACTAATATATATTATATTTAATTATACCATTTTACAAACTTATATTAATATTTCTTATCATAATATTGAAAACTTTAGCTGTGTTAACAAAAGTGATGAAATTATTGGATTATGCTTAAATATTTTGTATTTAAAAATGTACAGGTATTAAATGATACAATTACAATATTTTACCTAATTAATTTACATAATTACCTTCATTCTCTCATCGTATTGTTTAAACATAAAGTAAGAATATTTGGGTTGGTTTGAAATGTTTTAAAAAAATGTACTTTTTGACTTATTGTCTTATATGGGTTGGGTTTGGGTTGGGTTTGATGTGATGGGTTTGAGAGGTGATATGATTTAAATAAGATGACGTGACTTAAATAGGATAGTGACTTTTTGACTTTTTGTATTATTTAGTTTATGCCAAACCAACCCTTAGATTTAGGTGATGTTTGGACATGGTTAACAAAGAGTAAACAAACATTTTAGTTTAAAAAAGACAAAAAAAAATAAAATAAAAAAAATAACAACATTATTTTCATCCCTAACTGTATAAGCCAAAACATTATGAAATTTATATTTCAAAAAACTATGGTGTAATTATATCATAATTATAGTTTAATTATAATTTATTAATTAATTGGAAGAGATCAGTATAATTTATCCTAAGATAATATTTGGTTAAAAAATTTGAATAAGAATTTATAAAATGATTCTTTTATACTTTGGGCTTTCTTTTTGCCAAATACTCTTTGAATCCTTAATCCAAATATAATAATTAAAAAAAAAATCATAAAGTAAAGGAAATGAAAACGGAAACGGAAACGACGAAGAAGTTAATTCACATGATTTTCATAAAGTAAAGCAAAAAGGACATGGTTTTCATAAAGTAAAGCAAGAAAGAAAAGGAAAAGGAAAGGGAAAAGGGGAAGAAGTTGCTTCACCTTATGCCAGGATTCTCCCCATTGCACAGTTATAATGGAAGATTTTTATTATATTATTCAACGGTTGTAAAAATATTATTTCAATAAATATAATAATTATAAATTCACATTCCTATTTTAGAGTCATAGGATGTGTAATGGACATCTTCCATTGCAAATTTAGAATGGAGAGGATCATAATCCCTTCAACTCTGCTTTTATATTGCCCTAAATGATTCAACTTGTATCAGTCTGTTTGGTTTCAATTTTTAAGAACTGTTTTTTGAGTTTTAATTTGTATTTTTTTAATTTTATTGAACATTTTAATATTTTAATCATTTTTTTACTTTTTTAGATGTACCTAAAAAGTAAAATATTTGTAAAGAAAATTATTAAAAAAAATCAATAAATATAACAAAATATGAAAATGTACTTAATTTTTATATATATTTTTTTGTATTTTTTGCATTATAAAAATTCACAATATTATACTTTTACTATAACATTTTTTTAGTTTAGTGACATTTGAAAGTGCCACAAAACTATTCTTTTAATGACATTTTTTAGTCTTGTGACATTTTGAACAAGTGCCATTTATACCCGTGCCACGGTAGATACTTGCAAGTGCCACTGCACTATCATGGCTGAAAACTTTCAACTACATTTTGATGTAATAATAGATACTGTTTGGGACACTATTAAGCGCAATTAAAAAAAGAGTTTGTTGCACTTTAGTGACACTTGTAAGTACCATTACACCATCATGACTCAAAACTTGCAGTGACACTTCAATGTCATGGTAGACACTATTCGTGACGCTATCAAATGCCATTAAAGAAGAATTGCAATCTTAAAAATACCACAATATGAATTTTTAATGACACTTGTTATGTCACAATTGATATTTATAACTTCATAAATGCCACTAAATCCAATTCATTTGTGCCATTAAATGGATATAAGTGCCATTGGAACTTATTTTAGTGACACTTTGCAAAGCTACTATTACTACTATAAAATGCCACTTATATGTTCTTTTCATTGACACTTTCAAAAGTTACAACTAAGCATGTATAAATGCTTGTAAAAATTGAATCGATTTTATAAATAATTGAATATTAATTGCCACATCCCATATTAATTTGGCATCCATTTATTTTGTAATATTTTCATAATAATAAATAAATATTACCACCATAGGATCATCACATCAAAAACAAAAAAAATTCAAACCACAATCAATTATTTATTATTGAAATATAAATTTATTTATATTGCAATAAAAATCCCTTGCCAAAATTATAAAATATTCTACCACACTAACAAAGTTAAAGCAAAAAAAAATTAAAAGAAAATTATTTCAACCATAAGTTCTGAGAAGTCATAGTGATATCCATCTTCCGGAGAGAGAAATTATCAAAATAAAATCAGTTCCCAAATTCTCACTTGTATATATATTCTCGACTAGCATTCATAACTTGCAAAATCTGCATCCAAAGATAAACATAATTAGTTCACCACACTACAACAAATTATATAAAAGTAACAACCGTAAGTGTTTAGACCATATCAAACAATAGCTTAAAAAATCAATAACAACCAAAGGCATCAATCAACAACAATCAAAACCATGCCCATTATCAATATCATGATCCCCTAACCTCAACTATGTAAATCAAATGTAATTGTGAAAAATGACAATCAACTAATTACTTTCAAGCAATATTTTGAGAGAATCAGAAAGAGCCCATGTGGTAATAAATGATGAAGAGATGTCTTGTTTAAGCTTCACAAGAAAATAAAAATAAAAATAAAAATAAAAATAAATTGTTTTAAAAAAGCACAAGTTTCGTCATGTCATGATTTTGACTATATAGCACATTTTGTCTAGATTTAAACAATGGAATTTAGGTCCGCAATATTCATTCCTTGGTTAATTGTAAGACAAGTTTTGCATGCTATTCTAAAATAAAGCTAGAAGTAATGTGATATATATGATTAGCTCCTAGTGGGTACTTGAGTAAGAGAGGTACCTTGTATCGATGACAATGACCATACTTGATGTCAAATTGCCATGTCAAGAGAACTAGAAGTTGTTGTAACCTAATCAAATTTGAACTGATTAATTTACAAACACACACACACATAGATATATGTATGTATATGTATGTGTAGGAAAACATTAATAACTTACAAATTCTATTAAAAAAATTACCTGGTTAGATGTGTTTGTCAAGTTATTCGTAGCATGCTCAACATGGGAACCTTTGGACCTTAGCTTCGAATTTTCAGCTTCCATAGCATAAATCTGTGGCACCTGGTTCCATAAAGACCACAAGCTTGCCAACAACAAAGCTTTCAGGCTTTTTTCCCCAGGTTCTTGAATTTGTAACCAGACCACCACTATCAATCCACTAAGAGATCCTGGCATCACCCACTTAATTCGCCACCAATCCATAACTTAGACCACATTCTTATAATGGCTACCAAATTATTAACTTCGAACTTTCTAAAGCGATTTTCAATATTACTAAGGGAGCTTCAAAGATGAGCTTTGTTCAAATGCAATAAACAGGGCTTGCAGTTATAGCTCAAAACAAAATTAGAGACGAGCCCTTAAGGGTTACAACATACAAAGACTAAAGCCTGTAGCTCTAAGAAGCAGCAATCAAGGCCTAGGTTCTACAAACAAATAAATTCGCTTATTCAAAGATTGTGGTTAAGCCTACTTATTCTCATTCCTCGCGTTTGAGAAACTGTTGAAAGCTGATAATCGTTTCGCTAAGCAAACTGATCTGTTCTTTCGATATGAGGATACTTTCAAAAAATGGCATATCACATAAACTTAGTCAAGGATTTTGTGGAGGTAATATCATAGGTTCAAGCATATCAAAGCAATCAATAGCACCCATATATTAGCTGAATGTCAATCAATTAAACTTGACTAAAAGAAAATAGTTGCATGTTGCACATTAAATGCTTACATGGCTGCTCATAAAAAAGCAGCTCTTCTCTGTGCTGATTCTTCCAAGATAGATACAACTTGCCCACCATGAAGAAGAACCTATAAGATATGGTTGTGTTGCCAATTCAGATTATTGAGCACATAAAACATGTATTGATCTCTACTAATAAGATATTATTCTCACACTTCAACCATTCCACCAACACATGAACCCTTCATATTTTTATTTCCAGCTGTTAAAACTCTTGAACGGTTTGAACAAAAAATGATTTTTGCACAAAACAAAACCTCTTGGACTGTTCTATATATACAGAGTTATATATAATAGAAAACAAGAGAAGTATTTATCCATTAAACACAAATTTATGTAAGCATGGGATTCGAAATTCCCCATATAGACAAATTTATATACCCTAGGAAAGTACTGCCAAACATTTTATTCATGATAAATAGAATCAAAATAAACCAAAAACAGAAAGAAAGAGACCAGATGTAACGGAGCGACTAAGAAAATGAGTCGGTTTTGATAAGAGAGGCAGAGCATATCTGATATAGTGATTGTACAAAGTAAGGCAATAGATTAAGCTTGTGGCGAGTAGTAGCTCCAAAATCTTGTTCCACTTCTCTTTATGGAGACCAAACACATGAAAGCTTAGATGTGAAATAAAGTGAGTAAATGTAAAAAAAAAAAATCCATAACTGAATGACAATTAAACTACTAATATCATGCTGTAATTTAAAATTTCAACCAGCATACAAACAAACCTAAGGAATAAAGGAAAAACCAAAAATAAATAAATAATCTAAAAAAGAAAAATAAAAGTTGTGAATGTATCCAAATTCCAGAGTATAAACTCAAAGAACATATATAATTAAAGTTCGACGCAAAGTTTTATTGAGATCAAACCAATACATATGCAAAGAGCCAATCAATCATCAATGGTGGCAAAGCTATCTAACCTAGCTAGGAGGATAACCAGATATTTATAATTGGAGCATTTTGTTGAATGATCTTAAAGAAAACTCATTCACATAAACAAATTAACATGCACTTCAAATGAAAAGAAAATCTCAAAATGTTATTCAAGCCCATAAATCAAAAGCCATAAATCATTCTGGAGTCTATCTCAGGACCGTGAGAAAAATGGAAAAACAAAGAACACATGGGAGAGTGTGGTGGAGAAAGAAACACAAAGCGTGCATGAAAGGGGAAATATGATACCAAGTAAGTAGGATGTGTGTTTTTTAAAATGAGTTGCTTACAAAATTATACCACGAAAATTACCCCAAGAGTGAGGTAGCATTTTTTGTCTTCAATAATGCTACATATGCAGAAAAATTACCCACAATTATACTGGAAATTATATGTAAGTTGTCTATATTAATTGTATATAATTTGATGTTTACACAAATCATTTTCATTGGAAATTCACAATGGGCACCACCAATGGATCAAGATTTACACCATCTACTACCAGCCTACCATGACAGTGAAATGGGAAACTAGAGTGAATTTGGGAAAATGGAGAAATCTTGAAACTGGCTAAAAAAAAAACCCCCCAATAAATTAAACGTTCCTTCAATCATTTTATTTCAATCATTGGTTCATTGATTTCACATAAATAAAAACCCTACACCACAAAAAAGTAAACCCTAGATCTAGAGTGAAATGGGGAAACAGAAAAAGGGAGACATACAGAAAAACAGAGACCGAGAGGGAGAAAGATAGGGAGAGGAAGAGAAAAACCTCAATGTTGAAGCGATGCCATGCGAGACGAGCGAGCGGCGGTAGCGATGTGCGACTGTAGAAGTCGACGGTGAGCAATAGTGGAAGATCGATGATGATACGTGAGAGAGAGAGGGAGAGCATGAGTCTCTCGTCTTGTTTTTGCTTGAATGTAGTGACTAATATAAACAAATATAAAAAAAATAATAAAATAAAAAATTAGTGAATTGCCTCCATATTTGAAAAAGTTTCACCAAAAAAATTGATATCATTGCTGACCAATCTCAATTTTCGTCGCCTATTATATCACTTTTGGTGACAAATGGTATTTTGGTCATTGAAAATAAATATTTACTGACCAATTTTTTGGTCACCAAAGATAAAAAGTAAAATTAATTTTTTTTATTTAGTGAATAAATTAATTTTATAGGCAAATATTACTATATAGCGACAAAGTATTTTGGTCTCCGAAAATAAATATTTGTCGACCAAACCTTTGGTCGCTAAAGATTAATAGCAAACAGTATGCTAGTTATACTAAATTTATTTTAGTAGGCAAAAACTGATATAGCACGACTAAAACAAATCTGAGTAGCCTAAAACATGAACTAATGCCAACCAAAAAAATTTAGTCGCATATTGTGGCATATTTAGCAACTAAATTTTTTTTTAGTCGCCAGTTAATAATATACTGTGACTAAAAAAATTTAGTAGCTAAAACTTGAAACAATGCTGACCAATTTAATTTTTAGTCGCCTATTGTACAACTTTTGGCAACTAAATTCCTTTTATGCCATTTTAGTCTTTGTAATTTCAATTGAATCAATTTTAACCTTGAATTTTTTATTTTGTCTCAAATTGGTCCAATTGATAGCATTTTTTTATTACAAATGCAACCTATCATCGTTTTAGGACTTAACCTTAACAAAATACTTGGTCAATTCAGTGACTTCACCTTAACCAATCCAATGAAAATTTTCTATGAAAGACCCTAAAGATGTTATCAATTCGACTAAATTGACGTAAAATCTAAAATTAAGTGTTAAAATTGAATCAATTAAAACTATATGGAACAACAAAATGTAAGTATTATTGATGTAATTTACTCAACAATTATAAGCAATTGAAACAAATTGAGATAAATCGGTAAATTCAGAGTCAAAATCGAGTTAATTGAAACTATATGGACTAAAATTCAAGAAACTTTATCATTGTACAGGAGAGCAATTTGAAATTTAATTTTTCCTATTAAGTCATATAAAGTCGCTAATCAATTTTGTACATATGGCAAGTACAGTTAAAAAAACATGTTATATTGAGTTTAATTTATTTGTTTTTATTTATTTTGTGCATTTTAAAAATTTTGAAAATATATTGCCATTTTTTGTTTTTCCAAAAAATGCCATTAGATAGCTTGGAAAGTTTTTGGCTTAGTGGCATTTCTCAAAATGCTATAAAATATTTGTTTAAGATACTTTTCAACTAATGCCATAAAAAGTAACTTGCACCTATCTAGTTTAGTGACATTTTTTATAAAATGTCATTGCTACTAAAGTTTAGTGGCATCTATTGATAAATGTCACTAAAACAATTTATTGCGTCATTCTTTTATAAAATGCCATAAAATTGATGCGACATTTTTTTATTGAAATGCCACTAATACCTTATATGTTTGTGGTTTTGTGGCATTTTTCTAAAATGGGTCATCAAATATTATTTTTGTGACATTTTCTAAAAACATGCCACTATACCACTAGTGTAGTGCCATTAAAGTGTGTTTTTGTTGTAGTGTTGTGACACTTGTTTATTAAAATGTCACTAGAGCCTTTTATGTTTGTCGTTTTGTGACATTTTTCAAAAACGTGCCACTAAATATTATTTTTATGACATTTTCTAAAAAGATGCCACTAAAAAGATGTTTTGGTTTGGATTTTTCTTTTTCTTTTTTTTTTTTTTACCAGCACTTCCAAAAAGATGCCACTAGTATAGTGTCACTAGAGTGTGTTTTTGTTGTGGTGTTTCTAAATTTATCTAGATTATGTGTAGGAGTGGGTTTAAGGTTTATGGTCTAGAGTTTTAGGGTTTAGCATTTAGGATTTAGGGTTTAGGATTTGGGATTTAGGGTTTACGGTTTAGGATTGAGGGTTTAGGGTTGAGGATTTAGGATTTAGGATTTAGCATTTTATGGTTTACGATTTAAGATTTAGGATTTTAAGATTTAAAATTTAGGGTACACATAATCACCTTTCAAAAAAAAAAAAAAAAAAAAAAACCCAAAACAAAAACAAAAAAAAAAGCAGAAAAGAAAAAGAAAACATGATTCGAGCCTCGAATCCTCGAGGCCTCTAGCACGGTTGCAAACTAAATTATGGTGAATATGACTATCGTCAGTACCATTCTTTAATCAATCCACAAAGAAACAAAGAAAGAAAGCAAAACCCCTAGCATGACGAAAAGGACTCAAATCCCCTATCCCACTAGCCTGTACCAATTTTTTGTCGCATTATTCTTGTGTCTCCACGTGTAAAAAGATAAAACATTATCAAATTTATATTTCAAAAAAATGTGGTATAATTATACCAAAATTGTTATTGAATTATAATTTATTAATTAGTCAGATCGATATAATTTATCCTAAGACTGTTTGGATAATAAAAGTTGAGCAAGAATTTATGAAATGATTCTTTTGCACTTTCTCTCCACACATTACACTTCAAATCCTTAATCTAAAGAGAATCATAAAGTAAAGTAAAAGAAAATGGAAAAGAGAAAGAAGTTGCTTCACCTCTAAGTTGTGTACCCTGTTTAGTTTTGAGTTTTCAAAAATTATTTTTGAGTTTTGAATTTGTATGCGTTAGGTTTTCATGGATTTTTTTTCATATTTTAATCATTTTTTTAAAGATACA